TATTACGGATACTATTGCCTTCTTCCGGCAAGGATTTTATTTGTTGCTTCCTACTATTTCATGCAAATCTGACTAGTTGGCGGAAAACGTTTTTTTTTTTTTTTTTTTGTAGAATATGGCACGATCTCACATCACTAGGAAGAAAGAGTAATGGTCAAATTTGTGCCTGTGCCCCTTATTGGGCGTTGGACCTGCGCTAGGGCTGAGTGATATTCGACGGTGACATTTTAAAACAGAAACGGCTAGGCCTACCGTTAAGCAGTGCTGTGATGAATGCCGTACGATGTACGCTAGCGAATGAAGGTGTCATTCTTTCCGTCGAGGGTGAACCGCTTACAATTGGCCCCTTCGAATCTCCTGTTTTCGGCTCTTGCATTGAGATCATTTTATCGAATATCGCGCAGGCCTGTGCCAGGACTGTGCACCCACACTAGTTTTGTGTCCTCATGAGTGTCCTCATGGCACCACCGTCCTTGTGTCCTGTCCACTTTGGACAGCTTGACAAAATGGCAGTGCGTAGTTGCATGTGATGCCCACCACGGCCCTCAGCCCATATCCACCGGCGGTGTCCAGCACGACTCCAGCATGGTTCCAGCATGGCTCGAGTACTACGGTCCGAGCATGGCTCCTTCCCCATCTCAGGATGGTGGCTGCGCGGCTCCAGCGCGGCTCCAGCGCGGCTCCAGCGCGGCTCCAACTTGGATCCAAGTTGTCGGCAGTGCGACTCCGGCGCGGCTCCAGCGCGGCTCCGTCGTTGCGGCTCCAGCACGGCTCCAGCGCGGCTCCAGCACCACTGCGACTTGCATCCAGAGCGGCTCCAGCGCGGCTCCAGCACGACTCCAGCGCGGCCCCATCACAGGCCAGTCTTCAACAACCACTCCTCAGTCTGACGATGGCATGACTTAGGTCTCCAACCGTCGGGTCCTACGCACTCGACTCGGTCCTCATTTGGACCCCTTGATAGGTCTTTGGTGGTGCACCGGGCGCCCGCCGCCGCGAGGCCGCCGCCTGTCCCTTCAGCCCGATGCGATGTGACACCTCTTCTGGACCCGGGTATAGTCCGGTCCACGGGGAGGCCCCCGTCCCTCGACCACCCCTCCCCCTCCCGAACACACGATGGACGGTACGGCGGAGGCCTTGGCCGAGACCCTGGCCGAGGCTAAACGGCTGGCCTCCGCGCGGGCCCGACGCGCGCCGCACAGCGCCGTGGGCTAGAGTTCTAGAGTTCTCCCGGAGGCAGCGCGGCAGCGCTCGCCTCGCTTCGCTTGGCCCAGCCGCTCCCCTCAACCCCCTGGGGGACGCAGGGCTGCCCCGCCCAGAGCAAAGAGGGGGGGGGGATAGGATGTTGAAGAAGAAGAGGAAAAAGCAGAAAGAGAGAGGGAAGGGGAGAGGAGATGAGGGGGAGGAAGAGGAGGAGAAAGACGATCAAGACAGAAGAGAAGCAAGAAGGGCAGGGCAGCGCAAGGGGGAAGGGGAGCGGGAGGGCGAGTAGCTTAGGCGTTTAGTTGTCGATCATGATCTCGAAGTGGACCGATCCTCGGCGGTCTGCGCGGTCGTGGTGAATGTTCCTCGCCCAGGCCTTGCACTCGATGTTGATGAGGACGCCGGCTGCAAAGAAACAAACGTTTCGTTCAGTGAGTTTAGATCGGAACATACTGTAGGGTAGGGGCAAGCACACCGCCCTCGTGTCGGCTACTCACTCGCTGGCCGCTCGAAGTTGATGCCCACCAAGGGGCTGAGGTAGCCCTTGTCGTTCTTGTAGGGGAAGAAGTAGGACGGGAAGCCGCGCCTGGGGTAGTAGTTGATCGGTCCAATGTTCTCGACGTCGGCAGGGTTCTCGCCCTCGCAGGAGATCCAGACGGTGTTGAGCTATGGACAGGGGTGTAAGTAAGACATCAATCTGGTTGTGGTATGACTCCGCAGAGTAACAGAACGGCGCACTCACCTCTAGCACGGGCTTGGTAGCGGGCATGTTGGGGTCCTTGCGCTCATTTTTCTTGATGAGGCTCTTGATGTCTTCGGGGAAGCCCTTGGGAAGATCACCGCTGGTGTTGTAGTACTGGGGGATCCAGCCGTAGATCTGAAAGACGACAAAGGTCGGTCAGCTGTGTCCTGGAGTGGTTTACCACTCTGCAGCTCGAGTCTTGTCCGCACCTTGTTCAGCTTGAGGAAGATGCACGGACCACCCGCGGGGTAGTTGTACTTCTTTTCTTTCATGCAGGGTCCCATTCGGTCCATTTCGACCCGGCAGACCTTGCCTGGGCCGGGCGGAAGGTCGTAGTCGCACTTGACTACGTTCTCGCCGGTAGCATCAATGTTGGCCTTTTCCTGGTAAGCTGGTGAACATGGAAAAGAGAGAGTTGGTTAAGGCAGGCCAGGTAACTGGCAGCTCGCTAGGCGAGACGGGCGCGGAGCTGCGCGGTCCTAGCCAGAGACTACTGGAGCGGCTAGGCGCCTGGT